TGGAATACCCGAACCTAGATTATTAATTATTAATATATTAATATTATTTGTCCAAACCTAATTACGAAGCATGATTCTTCGCCAAATAGGATTCCGAAGTACCAGAAGCAGCCACGTAGGCTCATTGCATTCTGAAATTATATATAGGGAGGATGTACTTGTAACATTTTTTTTTTTTTTTTAATTTAATTGTTGTTACCCACTTAGTCAATGGACATCATCGAAACTTCTTTATTACCATGGTCAGTCAACTGTCCAATATTTCAAAAGTAAATATAAATTATAGGGTGGCCCCATTTTTTGGCATTTTTTTTAAAACAAAAAAATGATTAATGTATATGTTAGGAATAAAATGAAATATATTCGATAAACTAGCTGATAGCTGATAAACTAGTTTATAGATTTATCAGTAATTTTCGAGTTTATAGCTTATACCTTATGACTTTTAAGTTTTAACTGAAAATTTAACTTATATGATAAAAGTGTTTGGTAAAATTAGCTGATATGCTAGTTGAAATAAAATTTTCAACGGAGCTCATTTAAAAAGCTACCCAAGAAGTTAATTAGATAAACTCGAGTTTTTTTTTTTAAAATATCTCGTTTTACCAAATGAATCTTACTTAAATACAGAAACTTATAAGCTAACTAAAGAATGTTTAAACTAGTTAATTTGTCTACTAAACATAGTCTTACCCACCTACCAACAATTTCAGTAATGTTCTCCTACCAACTGTGGGCACATGTTAATATGTCCACCGTTCATGTAGCATGCACACATTGGTGATTATTTTTTTGAACATATTAACATCACCAATGTGTGCATTCTATATAAGCGGTGAACATATTAATAGGATCATTCTACATGTACCCCTTGGTGTACCACTTGGTTTACCTTTCTTCATTAAGGGTAAATAGGTACATGTACCCCTTGGATGTAAACCAAGTAGTACACCAAGGGATACAAGTAGCATTATTCATATTAACTAGTACAACGCCCGTGTATTACACGGGTGTGTGGTAATATTTTTTCTTAAAATATAAAATAAATGAGAAAAATAGTTGAAAATCTATATACCTTTTATGAATATATATATATATTATATAGTTAGTATGACACTTTTTATTGGTGCGACTTACATGTGTTATAACTGTAATAATTTTTTTAACTTACAACAAATAACTATATTAAACATAAATATATCAATTGAGAAATAATTTTATTTTTCTAATGAATTTTAATAAATATTATTATTTTTTATAATAAAGATAAATGTAATTTATTTATTTCATATATACAATATGGATGTCAAATCGAAGATCATCAAAAGATGATTAATTTGATATATTATATATGTAAAATCGATAAGAAATACAAAAGTTATCAACTTTTAAAGTATATTTACAATTCAATAGCTAATTGAAGGAAACAAATAAAAAATCAGGGATACATTAGTCACTTAGTGTCTCACTATGTAAAATACAAAGAATTAAAGGGTTATATTAGTACAATTGATATTAAATTTCCTAAGTTAGCTAAATAATATTTATAGAATGTCCAAAACTAAATTATTATTTATTAATATATCAATATTATTTGTCCAAACCTAATTACGAAGCATGATTCTTCGTCAAGTAGGATTACGAAGCACCAGAAGCAGCCACGTAGGCTCAACGCATTCTTGAATTATATATAGGGAGGACATGTGTTCACCGCGGGTAAGAGAACATTACATGCGAGTACTTATTACCAACAAAATCATCTTCCAACAAAATGATTATGCCCACCATGAATAAGAGCTTGTTTGGAAACACTTTTTAAATGGACTTTTAGATGTAAAAGTCCATTTGGGTTAATATTTATGTTTGGTGTTAAATAAAAAATGGACTTATGAATAAGTTGTTTCTCCAAGATGTCCATTCTATAGAAGTAATGAATGCGGACTTTTGGAGAATTCCATTTTGTATAAGTCCATTACGAAATGGACTTTCCTAGAAATGCTTCCAAACAAGCACTAAATATACTTCTCAACATTCATTCACTTCCAAAAAAATTTGGCTCCTTCCAAAATTCACTTTCAGCAGCACCATCACAATTAGATCTCTTTTAAAAGAAAATACATAGACGTTGTTTGGCGATCAGCGGATAGCAGATTGTATTATCGAATAGCGGATAGCGAATTATATTAGTTGATTTGACCATCGGATTGCATTAGCGGTTTTTAAATAAGTGTTTGGTAAATAGCTGAACTTATAGTTGTTTGACATTGCAAAATGACCAATAATGACATTTTATTATTTAGGGTGTATTTTTTTTAATAATAATAATATATTAAAACATTTGATATTATTTAGTTGGTAATTTATATATATATATATATATATATATATATATATATATATTTAAAAATTTACTAACACTTGATGAAAAAGTTATGAATTTTACATTTTTCTAGATAAATTAATTATATGGATGACATATTATTATTTATTAGCACCATAAACCAATGTAGATTGTAAAATAAATAATACAAATTAAAAAGTTCCAAATAAATGATTTTTGTGAATCCTCTATCCCAAAAAGTTGTTCTAATAAGCTTTTT